CTGAGTTTGGTGGGGCCGCGTGTTTGGGGGGGTCGGGGCAAGCGCTGCTCCCACAGTCCCCATCCCACCCGCAGGAACTGCCCATTGGGAAACGCAGGGTTAACGGTCAGCAGCGGGGAGATCGGCCCAAATCTGGCGCTTATTTGGGTTCAGTGCCAAAAAAGACATTAGGAAGCGGAAGAGGATTTATTCCCACGCTGGGGCGGCCGGGGGGGCGCCCCGGGTCCCGCTGAGCTCCCTGGGGAGGAGAGGACCCGTGCTGGATTTGGCCCCTGGGTGCTGCTGAGGGGAGGGCGGATTGGGGCAGATTTGGGGGGATTTTTGCCATGGGAGCAGGGGGCAGCCGGGCATTGGGCTGCGGGGGATTCTCCGGGCACCGGGGGCTGCTGGCTGTGCCAAGCACCATGTGGGAAGCATCACTGGTCCTCACCCCCACCCTCCCCAGCCACCCCATTCCCGGTTTTGGGGAGACCACTGGGATGCAGAGCGCAGGCTCCATCCCTCCCATCCCGGGAGGTTTCCCCGGCCACCACCAGCCCACGGAGGAAGGCCAGACCCGGCCGATCCCGCATCAAACCCTCCCACCGAACTGTGAAATAACAATGATAATAGTAATAATAAAAAATCAATAAACATTTATTCGATACAGCTGTTTTTAATACATACAGTACATCGAGTTACCCCTCCGCGGTGCTCGGCGGCGCGGCTGTTAAGAGCTGCTGTTACAGTACTCTCCAACTGAGGATTTGTCAATGATTAACAAAAGAACAGATCGTCACAAATCGGGAGTTTATTATAAGATATTTTACTGTTAAAACAATTTTATTTTTTGCAAATAAACACTTTTTAATATATATATTTATATATTTATATATATTTTCCCTGCTAGGTTTTGTGGTTTTGGTTGGGTTTTTGGTGGGGTTTTTTTTTTTGGTTAATAATATAATTAAAATATATGTGGCTACATTTTTGGAAGGTGCTACTCAAGGGCTACTTAATAGCTGTGCCTAGTTGGTGCCTGATGTGCACCCCGGCATTGGTGTGGGTTCTGTGCCCTGCCACCTCCTTACACTCTTGGGGGTCACTGGGAAGCTCTTGACAAAGATGCACATTGCACCTTCCCAAAATTCCTACATGGACAAAGAGGATGCATCGAGCACAACGCAGTCTGGCCTTAAAGCCTGAGAAGAAATTTGTCTTTTATTTTATAGCCTGTGTGTATTTACGCCTGCAGCCGCTTTTTGGGTCCCTAGGGTGAAAGTCATCTGGTTGAGGTGCTGGTTACTCCTTGAATGTAGCAGGTCGTTGTGACCGGGCTTATTTCATGGTGCCTCCTTAATCCTTCAGGAAGTGGTTTCTCCCTCAACTCTCTGCAGTGTATGCTCTGCAAAAAGAAAATTGTTTCCATACAGCCATCACGGTGGCCATCCTCTTTGTTGGGACACTGTACCTTAGCAGATCTTAAGGGCTTTTTAAGGTGCAAATGTTTCTTCTGCTCTTCCTCTGACCTAGGTTGTCCTTTCCCTATGATTGGGAACTATATAGTGTACTTCCCATTGATTTGTCTCTCTACTGTGCTTCAGTAAAACCTGTCACTAAGTTTGCTTCCGTTTCCATTCAACTTTTGGTGTGTTTTAAAGTTATCATAAACGCATGTACAGGGGCTGCTCAGAGATTTGCATAGTAATAGTACCCGGCTGCATACTTTCAGGACGTAAATAAGTGTTATTCATGCCAGCTTGAACTCCCCCCGGCCGCTGCCTCGCCGGGAGCTCTCGGACAGGCACGACCCAACCAGCACAACCAGCGCTGCCACCGCCGCTCGTGTGCCGTGGGGCAGGCAGCTGCCGGTATTCCCGGTATCGCTCCGGAGCCTTCCCTGGACAAGCAGAAGAGTAAAGGATGTCTCATGGAGAAGGCAGTGGTGGGAGAACATATTCCTCTCGAGTGATGACTACTGGGGGAAAAATACCTTTTAAGGGGAAAAAAAAAAGCCCTGAAGATTTCACTTTCGCGTAAAAATTTCCATTTGACCGCATAAAAATTTCCATTTGACCGCGGCGCTGCCAGCACGGGGGGCGGTGAGGAGCATCTCCCTGCTCTGAGGGCGATGGGGGACAGCCCCAGCACTGGGACCACTGTCCCCACCGCCCTGAGCCCATCGCCTGCCCCGGGGTCCCCTCTGGGATGGTGTCACCCCATGAGGTCACCGCGGCTGTCCCCGCTCCAGCCCCTCGCTCCTCCCAGTGCCTTCGTTTGGAGATACTTCGTTACCGAAGCAGCGGGATGGGTTTCGAGCCGGACCCCCAGCCGGCCCTTCCCCACGTCTCCCCAACCTTGAGCAGCTCCCGGCCGAGTTCCTGCACTGGGACTCACCCCCAGCACGGCACACAGTGCTGCCTCTTAATTTAATTAACGAGAAGCCAATTAACTGCCTGCTAATGAGAATCAAACCCCATGCTATCCCCAAAGGGTGGCGGTGGGGATTAGAAGGTGAACGTCCAAACCAGCAGCTGGGGCGATGCGGGTCCCCCCTCCCCGGGCCAGGGCACAGGGCTTTGCCGGGGGCTTTCCCCTGCGCTGGGACATCATTTCGGGATCCAGCGGTTCCCTCCACCCCTTGGCTGAGGTTTCGGTGCCTAATTCTGCACCGTTCTCCCGCTGCCTACACCCCCCCGAGCACCCTTCCCTGGCCATTCCAGTGGTTATTGCTTTGGTGAGCAGGCACGGGCCCCGCAGGCGGCCGTCCCTCGGGCTCAGCACAGCAAAACGCCGTTGCCCCGGACAGTGTCCCCACGTCCCCGTCAACGAAGACCGAGACAGCCCTGAGAGCACGAGTCCTACAGTCCCTGAAGCTCTCCTCCCTTCCCTGGGGAGGCAGGGTTTGTACCGGCGACACCATCAAAACAAGGATCGGATGAAATGCAAGCAGCAAACAAGCTGAGCCGCGGTGACTAATTAAGCTTTCTCACTAATTGCTTCAAAGACCGGCGCAACCAGCAGCGCTTCGGCGGGTTCCCTCGCCCGCAGGCACGTGCCCCGCTCGCGGCTGAGCGCGCCGGGCGATGCGGATGGTGGTATCCAGCTGCCGGCAGCCGCGGCCGGAGCGGGAGCACCGTCTCCCCCTGGAAGCTGCCCTGGCTTCAGACACTGCCACCTCCTCCCTGCCTCCGCGGCCGTAATAACCTGCCGGTGGAGAAGGACGTTAATTGTCGCTAAGCGGCTCCTCGGAGCAGGGAAACGGTACTGAGCCTCTGGCAGGTGGTGAAGAGCCGTGAAAAGAAACCGAGGGTTGAGGTTTTAATTGATTAAAGTAAAAGCAGAAGCTCTCCTCCCCCCGACGCCACCTTCCCGGCTCTGCACAGGGGAAAAAAATTGAATTAAGGTTTTTCTGTTCCTTTACTGAGAGAAAACATGCCTGTTTCCCAAGGACGGAGGTAGCCTGGTTTTTGTCTGGAGACAGTTGTATCCCGGTCTGGGGATGGTTCCCTCCAGGCCGGAGCGAGGTGTTACGACGGTATTAGTACAGACGCAAAGAAAAACCCGGGGAAAGAGAACAAGCAAGGGACAGCACGCTGTGCGGGGACTCCCCGTCCCCGAGGAAGATGGTCAGGGGCTTGGACGCATCTCGGAGGAGCCGAGACTCACCCCACGGTGGGTCCCAGCCCGGAGGGACAAGGCGAGTGCAAGATGCCCGAAAGCAGGATCCATGATTGTCACTTGATGCTGTCCCCCTGTCCCCATCACACACCTCCCGTGGCCACAGCTGGGTGACCGAAAACCCCATTCCTCCTTCCTGGGCCATCAGCACCTTTGGGATGGGACATGACGGGGACCCTGCATCGCCCTTTCCACCCGCTGGATCCCCCACGTTTGCTGGCTGCCATCGCCGCTGCAGCGCTCCGTGTCCGGTTACATTTGCAAAGACAACTTGAGCACCGGGGCGCAGCTCCCCCCATCACAACCCGCCCCCGCGGTGTCACCGCGATGCTCCACGGCGCTCAGGGCATTCCCGCAACTTTCGGTTAAACCCTCCAACCTGACCCATCCTACAGCAACTCATTTCGACTTCCAGGGGTGCTCACACCTCCCGCACCTCCTCTCGCAGCCGCAGCCAACCCCACCATCTCGGGACGATGCTTTGCCGGCCCCGTGCCACACTCCCTGCTCGTTCCT